GCTTCTTTCCCCTTTGGGTCTTTTGAGGATGGCAGGCCCACGTCCTGTGATGCTGTGTTATTGCCCATCAGCTCAACTTGGGGCAGAAGTGTGGTATCTTTTTCTTCTAGTATGTACCTTGTAAAGGATTTAATATTCATAAAAAGGATGTTATCATTAGATTAAGATGTGCTGATCTTTAAAGCATATGGCTCTATACTTGTAGCCACATGGAATAATTGCTCTCCAGATACTCACTGGTAAGTATAAATTTTAAATAGCTGTACCTGAATTCCTATTGAAAGACCCACTGAGAGAAATAATATTTGTGGATATTTAACTCAGGAAGGGTAGGTCCTCAAATTTGCTTATAGGTTAAGGCAATAATCAAAAAGCTATCTCCCTGTTATTGAATTGGCATCTTACTGAATTTATTTTTAGATTTTTAATTTTTTTTTACTTTCCTGCACTTCAGGTTATATTGAGAGGTGTTATAAGGAACAATCCTATGAATGACTGCTGTGCGTACTATACAGTTACTGTTGAGATGTTCCTTAAAGCTCACAGTGATGCTCTGAGATGACACAGTAAAAATGCTTCTCCATTCTGAGTAATAGGATCAGAGTATCAAGGAATTTAAGTTTTAACCTTATGGACCATGAAATGAATAACTGATCCTGTTTCTCTCTGGGTATGGGCTACTAGAAATCTTAGAACTAAATTTTTTACCAAGCTCTAAAAGTATATAGAAATCATGACATAAATTTTATGATCTAACCTCATTTCTGACTACATCCTACTCTAATCATCCTTATCTTTTGCCCCCAATTTCTCCAATTTTTCTTGGTGTACTAAATACTTCTTTATAAGCCACTTTAAATCCCTTCCAGTATAAAACAAAATGTTAACAATAAACGGTGTTTGAATGTGTTGTCTTTCCATTTCACAAAGGCTTTCTCAAAACAATGGCTAATCCAGAAGCCAGGGTCTAACACTGTCATAGTTTGGGATCTTTGAGAAGAAGACACTGAAACAAGATGGAGTTTACGGTGCAGGATATCTATAAGGGAATGCCCTTGGGATAAATCCTTGGAGAAGGAAGAGAAAGGAGAGAGGATTGAACAGACCAGGAAGTTGAGCTGTAGTGCATGCTGCTAAACAGCCTCGGCTGCTCTGGAGCCAAAACGGCCCGTCAGAATTATCCTACTTTGGACTGAAAAGGAGGGGTTTTTCTGCTCCATGCCTCAATCACTCATCAAATGTTGGTTGCTCTAGGCAAAGCTTGACTTGATCAAGGTGGCTGTCTACAGCTGAGGCCATCCCTGAAAAGCTGGTCATTAAGTGCTATCTGCTGACCACACTCCCAGCAACTAGAAAAACAAGACCATCCTTGAAAAGGGAAGTGTGCCACCCCATCTATCACAAATATTCTAGGTAAGTCAGACACCCTAAAGGAACAAGAATACCCCGGGGCAGCTGAATACCCTTGAGAAGTTATTTTGGTCATAGAGTTAGGTGCTTCTTCTACTCTGCCTAGAGAAAACCCAGAGTAAATGTCCCTGAAAAGGACACAAGTTGAGTGATAAACACTTCACATACTCTGTGTGTGTGTGTGTGTGCGTGTGTGTGTGTGTCTGTGCATGTGTGTGGGGCTTAGGGGCTTAAAACAACATACATTTATTATCTCAGTTTCTGTCCAGGCATATCTTAGCTAATTCCTCTGTTCATCGTCTCACAGGGCTGCAGTCGAGGTATTGGCTGGGGCTGTTGGATTCATATGTATTTAATACACAATATCTAAGAATGCCTATTTTGTGCTGCACACAACCTGGATTTTAGACATGAACTCAAAGTAGAAGCCACCCCTGTCATATATATGCGTGGACAGCATTTACATTTCATGATTCCTATCATCACAGTATTGTAATGGGGGTTTCTGGCTTCATAACAAGTCTTCCAGCCTTGTACATTTTTATATTCTGGAACAAGAAAGATTGCTCTTAGTAAACGCTGCACCACGTGATTTGAAACACTGAACAATTAGGTAACTTGATTTACCAGTCCTATATTATATATAGGTAACGAACATTTTATTTTCTTACTGAGTCTATTAGCCAATTTCTATGCCCTTGAAGCAAAACTCCAATTCACCACATTCTTCAAATTCCATGAGTACATGCATTGTTCAGCTCAGTTGGTGAAACAAAAACATGGAGATAAATAAAACACACTTGCAGAGTAAATTATAGAAGGTACTACTCTTTAACGATTAGTTTGCATGGTGCTCGATACAAGTGTTACACAAGTGTAATAGAATATTTTTCATTTTTTAACTTAACTTTTTTTCCCTTTCAAATAAAAAACAAATAATCATAGTGGATTCTTTTTCTTTTTTTTTTTTTTTTGTCACCTGTCTTTTGTTTTTAACTGGCATGGCCCTTAAGATCTTCCGGTCTGAGTGTTCCTTTTTCAAATGAGGAGACTAGAGTTTAGAGAGAGTTGATAATTACTCATTTCATGAGGGAAAAGTCAGGACCGGAATCCAGGTTTTCCAACTCCTACTCCAGTGTTTTTTCCCTCCTCCATTGTTCCATCCTTTGGTATTAATAGCTCTAAGAAATCAACAGCACCAAAAAATTTCCAATGCACAATGTCTGCATTGGCAAGATATTCCTTTTATTATCCCCTTTCTAAAACAATTTCCTTAATAGCTCCCTTGAGTACATAGCTGCAACAATTAAAGATAAGCTTTGTTTTTACCAGCCAACGCGAGTTTGACATCAGTGATTCATACAGTCTTCTCTCAGTTGCTCAGTTTCTTTATCTTGGTGAATAAAGTCTTGACAAACTTTTAGGCAAGGAACATACACTTCAAAACTCTCCAGATGCACCTGAGCATCAGACAACTCAACAAATATGGAGACTGAAGAGATGTGCACATCAGTTTGTTTTCGTTCATGGAGAGGAAATGTAACTTAAGTGGGGTTGACTTTTTATGACATTTATTTAGTTCTTGAATTCACTGACAAGCCTATTAATGTATTCCCTGAACTTTATTAATGTAATTGGAAAACTGCCCACATGTCAATCAACTTCTAGTAAGTAATTATGTTCATAAAAACTGTAAAATTATTAGCTTTTAATTTGACCCAAGCACATACTTTGAAAACTGTAACATGAATTTTCTTTTTTTAGAGGAACAAAATATTATACTGATACAACATTCAATAAGTGCATTCCTAAAAGGCACTTCCTAAAATGATGCCCCAAAATTCACCATCATCAAATGGCCAGCAAAAAAGAGTGCCATAGTATGTCATGTAACAGTTTAAAAAGTTTGTATGGTATTAAACAATCTATGTAACATAAAGTTATAAAGAAATCCTATGGAAATTAAACAGATGCTTGGGCAGGGCTTATTTACCATAGTCTGGTTTAAAAATATGGGCCTAACATGGAACAAGAGAGAATGGAGAAAAGGAAAGAAGGACATGTTTAGTGTCCAGAAATATATCATTTAACCCTACAAGAAGCAAAGTGTCTATATCTCAAGTGACTCAAATATATTATTGTCCAAGTGTACTTCTTCTCATGTAATAAAAATCTTTTGTAGTCTTTGAGTTAGAAACTCAAGTCAAAGGGCACAGAACTAAACAAGTGAGCAGAATTAGACTTGGATAACAGAAGAAACGTGTTTTTGACTCATAATCTCATGTTAGTTTCTGAAGCTGGACAAACTCTTGCCCTCCGGAATCTCTGGAGAATCTCTGAATAAAAATGGACTTTGGTGAAAACTTTATTATAGTCTCCTATCCTTTTAAATAAGGAATGTCACCACAGTCTGCAATGATCTATAATAAAAACCATTGAGGAAATTCACTGACTTATTCTTCAATTTATACTTTCCTCCTCAAAGTTGATTGTTTAATTAATGTTTAACCTTTATCACAAAATTAAAATATTTACTAATAATTGAAGCTGTGTTTGAATTCAGGTTTACCTTTACGTAAGGAAATAAAGCTCATTTAATAAAGTTGTAGATTAACAATCTTTTCCAGATGCAAGCCATGTACCTAAATTAATACTTAGTGTTGATTTTTTGAAGCGTAAACTCAGAGATAATACAACTAACTTGCCCTCTCAGCTTTCCTGTTAGGAACAAAACAGGCATTCACTGGCACCACATTATTATATAATTCATTATTAATTTTACTTAGAAATGCTGCAATGTCATTTTGAGTTCCACAGCATAATATTTCTATGCAACCAACACATGATTAATCTAGAAAGCGCAAGGAAATAATGTGAATAAAAGGGCAAAAATATACATTTTCCATTCTACTAGCATTATAATTGCATTTTTCTTGAAAACTATTTGTATTGGGGATAAATATGCTCTCACATTTTAGCATGCAAAGACAACTAAAATAATTTGATGATGCTGTATTTGGAGATTGTAAGTTAGCTGGCATGATTTATGATCTACTGAAAGTAAATCAAAGTATAAAGCACTGTGTACAATATTTTTTCAATTACTCTGTATTTAAATAAAATAATTCCAGAAAATTGCTTTTTTTTCATTGTGACTTGAATCAAAGTAAACAGAAGTTGGATTGAGACAGAGTGTTGGAAGGCTAGAGGATTACTTTTAGTTACTATCCATATTTCAAAAAGTTCTAATATTTTAATATACCCATCATGGGTTACTAAAGATTTATTGTAATGTAGCAATCATGAGTTCTCAAAGATTTATTGAAGGGGTGACTCAAAGAAAGATACAAAGTGAATCATATACGAAAAATCATAATGTGTTGTTAATGGATAATTTTTGATCCTGGTAAGTGGGAATTTGTATGCCTATAATAGCCATGACACTTAATGGAATCTAGGCACATAAATCCCTGAAGAAAATGACAGTATATCTTTCAGCATTGTTCGTTATTTCTGAGTCATTTTGATATCTGAATATCGAACATTTCTAAGCGTAGTTCTTCAAATATAGCAGTGACGGAAATGCATACCTTGCACAGTTAGATGCACCTGCATTGTTCTCGGTGTATGTTGAGTCTGAACAGAACACGTGTATGGGCCATCATCTGTCACATCTACATTCTGTATCTGGAGGCTGTAGTCCCTTTTATTCAATGTTGAAATTGAAACTCGAGGATCCACGGACCACTTATCACCTCCCGCAAAAATAATACTTGACCGGTTCAGCCAGGCACCCTTTGAAGCTCCATCTTCCAAATAACACCTACAAATTACCAGAGACAGAACACTATTAATAAAAGTGAAAATGAGAGACAACATGATCTTTGTTCTGAGTGTATTTCCATATGCTGAATTATAGCACTGCATCATATGCAAACATCAGACGTAAACGCAGGAGCCAGGAACACATTGGTACATCTTCCATTCCCAATGCAAATGTGAAACTATACCTGCACACAGTTTTGTTTTGTTTTGTGTCCATGTGTCTACCTTAATTCAAAGCCAGTCAAAATCCTTTTTCATTCTATCTGGATGACAAGTAAATTTAAATAAGGTTAAATTATTTCAAATAATTTTCAACATTAAAACACATTTCTTTCTTTGAAATTATAAGAAGTAGAAAAGATCTATGAGTTATACTGGTTCAACCCAATCCAATTCCGAATATAATGTACCAGATGCAGAAAGCATAAAATAGTAGCATATACATGTTTATTTTTAAATTACCTGCATTTGCAGCATGGTAAGCTTGTACACTGAAACTATAAACTGCATTTTACTGATAATATTGCTATTGTAATTAAATGTAGCAAGGCTAATATAATACTTATAGTAGCAAATTCTTGCTGTCTATTCAATAAACTGACTAATGGTTTTTCCAGGAAGCGTTCATTTATCCAGCAAACATTTATGGAGCATCTACTATTTATAGATTCAAAGAGGTATTGTCCTTGCTCTCCAAAACTTTTAGTTTAGTAAGGAAGACAATCAAGCAAACCAATTCATACTATACAGAAAGAAGAATATTTTTATTAAATCAGGCACAAAGTATATGAGAGACAAAAGAGGGTTACCTGAGTCAGAAAGCGTGTTGGGGGTACAGAGAAAGGCTTTCTGGAAGAGCAAATGACTGAGATAAGGAGGCGAAGAAGAGTGGAAGACACGGCATCCTAGACAGAGCTGCTAGATGTGGGCAACACCAGCAACACCGGAGAAAGGTGTGAGAGCCAGGCGTTTCAAGAAAGTACAAAGAAACATGAGCTATAGAGAAGGAGGATGCGAGATGAAGCTGGAAAGATAAACTAGAGCCAGATGATGAAGGCAAGCATGACGACAATTAGTAGATTTTAAGGCCAAATTTGAAGCCAGTTATTCAAAGTTGTATTGTATAACAAGATTCAAAAATATAGCTTTGTATTTAACAGAAGTCAGGCAACTCAACATTTAGAACAGAAGAAAACTGCGGTCATATGTCAGTGATTTTGCTGAGGCCTGGAATTCTATGTTTCATCTTGAAAACATTCTGATACAAATTAAAGACTGGTTCTCTTAAATGAGTACAAAGCACAGCTACAGAACAAAAATACAAATACATCGAAATCGTTTGACAGCATTTCTACAGAACACCTTAGGGGATTGAACATGGGTTTGAGATTGCTACAAAATCGCAAGCTGAAAGCAACAGGGTAGGCTGCTGCCAACTGTAGGAAACTAATCAGTGGGTGAAAAAATAAGGAACAAGGTACGTTGTGGAATCTAATTCGCAGTCAGCTTCACCATCTATAGAATTCAAACCAGTAGAAGTCATAAAGGTCATTATTAATTGAAAAGTTTTTCCTTATGCATTTAATGAAGAAAATAAAACTCACTTTAATGACATTATTAAACAATTAGAGTATATTGTCATTCTTAATAATATGCAGAAAGAAGATGGAGGGGACATATTTCCCATTTCACAAGATCACATTTGCCCTAGTAGAGGATAAAGCACTGAAATACCACTACCAGGACTGTGATAATTCCAATGTCTGCATTTAATATCTGGATTCATTAAGTGTTTACTGTGTGACCTCTGCATTTGTGCCCTCACACGTTATCCTATCTGGTGCTCATAACAAACCTGTGGGGTATGGATTGCTATGTCCAATTCATCTCTAGAAAATAAATGGAATGTTTAGGTTAAATGACTTGCCCAAGCCACACTATTAGTGAGTGGCAAAGCTGAATTCATAATCAAGTCTTATATTTCTACATTCAATGTCCTTTCCACCATAATGCAGATCAAAGTCTTTTAAAATAGGTTTCAGAAATGGGAAGATGATTAGAATGTTGCAGAAATTACTGCAAGTAATTTCTTATTTACTGAATATGACCAACTGCTTAACTTGTCCTATTCTAAAGTAAGCAGAAAATTAATTATTAATGGCTATTTTACCATGAAAGTCTGATTTAGAACACTCTGCCTGGCATTTCCTTTTCCCTAGAGGCAGCAGCAGCTTTCCCTTTATTGGGGGGTGGGCGGGTATCAGGAAGAGCATGGACATTAACTAGCCTTTAGATACTAGAGCTTTCCTAGACCTGATCTGGGTTATAACTCTTAGACTTAGCATAAGCACTATCCCTCCATCCTGGGATGTCAGGGACCATCATAGAAGAATAGATTGTAATTTCTTCACTGTGAAAAATGAAAAAAGGAGCCCTTTATGTCTCCTTGGCTTGGATAATATATTTCATAATTGTTATTGGTCCCAACCAAAGCTTTTCAAGACATACATTAGGAAGACCCTTGAATGAGAACCATAAAAAAAAAAATTGTTTTTATTACTTTCTTGGATTTCTGTAGAATTATTCTCAAATTATACCACTGAGTTAGAACTTAAATCAAATTACCATGTATGGGATTTTACAAACCTGGAATAGCAAGGCCTAGGCATGGCTTTCTACTTCATAAAATCATAAGATACTTATATAGAGTATATGTAGTTTTAAGGTCAACTATGAGATGATTATATACAATATATGAAATAGGCCAAACACACACATATGATTGCTTGAGAATAAGGGCTGTATCTTCTACCTCTATACCGCCTCTTTGTTCTCCACATCCACCCCATTTTTTTTCCTTTACAATACAAAGAGATACTGCCTGGCATGTGTATGTTGTATTGGGAAGGAATTCTGGAAAGAAGGAAGGTATCCAGAGAATGACAGAATGGGAGGAGGGGCAGAAGAAGGACGGGAAGTGGTGACAATTTAGTTTTGCCCTCTCTGGGCACCAAACACTTTTCTTGGTTTAAGAACTGTAATGTCTAAAAATATAAATCTGTTGGAATCTGGCCCATACAGAATTTATAATTTAGCAAGGATGATAAAGTATATTCATGAATAGCCATCATGCAGAATAGGAAGTGAAAAAACAGTAATTAAATTGTTGTTATAATTGGATTATTGTAATTGCCCAAGAGTCTCTGGCTTCTGCCCTTGACCCCTGTAGCCAGGTGCATTCTTCCCACAACAAACAGAATGAAATTTTTAGAGTGTAAACCATGTCATCAACAATTCCAAGCCTTCCTATTTCACTCATAAGAAAAACTCTAATGCTGATAGCGACCAAGGGTCTGACGTAATTTTGTCCCTTGATGCTTTTGTTTTTCTGACCTTATTGGTTTCCACCCTTTCCCAGTTTACTCTGCTGAGACTGTGGTCCTCTAGCTATGCTTCCAACAAGTCACGCATGCTCTTGCCCCGGGAAGTTTGCATCTGCTGTTTCTTCCACCTTGAATTCTCTTCCCCTAGAGTTCTGCATAACTTGTTTCCTATTTTCCTGAGGTCTTCACTGAATTACCTAAAAAGAACACCATTGTTCCCAACACTCCCATTAGACATAGTCTCTGCTCACTTGATTGATTGTTTTCTGTCTCTCTCTGCTAAAGGTAAGATCCAGGCACTTCATCTATTTGGTCACTACAGAAGTGACCAAATGTATATTCCAAGGGCCTACACAAAATGGAAAATAAATATAAATATTTGCTGAGTGGATGAATGAAGGTAAAAATTAAGATAATTTTAGAAGAAAGAATAATATGGTAAAGTATATCAAAATTCACAAAGTACAACCTAGTTGGGAAAGCAAAGTCATGCCCACATTGATTTTGATAACATATAATTAAATGCAAATATCTGTGGCACAAACAACTGTTATGTGACAGAGAGGATAAGCTAAGGAATCTGAGTCAGTAGATGGGGAACCGAGCTTAGTGAACAGAGTCAAGTGGTAGATGTGGGGCAGCGGTGGGCTGGGCTCCTAACTACTTGAAATACGAAATAACTACAACATTTGACTCTATACTTCAGGAACCACTTTAAACCATTAAATATTCTGCTTAGTACGTGCAGGGCACTTTACATTTATTATCCCATTTAATCCTCACATAACCCTATGAGCCAGATACTATTATTTTCATTTTATTGAGGAAGAAACGAAGGCACTGGGAGATTGTATCTTGAGCAAAGCCAGTCTGCCCGCGAGCTCTTAACCACACTAATAGCTCATACTGTGCAATCTTAGAGTCAGCTAGCAGCAGGGGTGAGGGGTCCTCCTCTTGAGGATGGAGGAAATAATGCGTGAGGGAGAGGCTGGTGAAGTGAGGGTGTTTGAATTCTCAATGAGGGCAGGATGACGCAACAGTTCTTGGGTCACAAACTCAGATCTTTTTTCCTCTCTGGACTTCAAAATGGAACATTTTAACCGCCAGTGATCTTAGGATCCCTTTGAAGCATAGACAATGAAATAATCTGAATAAAAATATGAATATATTTTTAAATTGAGTATGGCATGGCTTTTCTTGAAAGTGTTTTTTTTTTTTTTCTGCTTAAAAGAATCTGCTAGTCTACCTGCTTTATAGGGAGATGAGTGAAGCAGTTCCAAAAATATACTCCTCAGCATAAGCTGTGTTAACACTGTGCCAAATATCATGACAAATACTTAAATTTTCAGTCAATCATCTGGATGTTTTGTACACACAGTTCCAAACATCTGGCTGTTGGAAAATGTATAGAAAATAGCCTGAATATTTCCTTTGGTTTCACGGTTGTTAATTATGTAAACCCAGGCTTAGGAGAGCTAATGCTTTTCTAATAAGAACGGCCTTGCTGCTTCTGAACTCTTTAAGGAGCTCCTTTATAAATGACGTCCTACACATTAGGCAGGTCCTTGTTCGGAGGGTATAAAGTCCCATTTGGTGAGCTGCTTGTTGATCAAAC